TTAACAGTTTAAGTTTTTGGGTTGAATTAGTATTTTATGGTATCAGAATTTCGGTGTCACGAATTCAATCATTACCGTCTTTTCCCCCACCACACTTTCTTTTATAAAATTTCTTAGCACATGTGTATGAGTTTGTGCATTATTCATTCTTTATGAGCAGTGGATTCTTGTGTAAAAGAACGTGTTAAATAAGTATATAAATCATTGATGGATCTTCACTTAATAACTTAAATTTTTGGATTAAATTAATTTTTTATACAAACTTATATTTCACAACAAACACTAAATAGGATAAAATTATACAATCATGCGTGACACACTGAACAATTGAACCGTATAAAAACTTAAAATAATATATCACTTACACTGTACTCTCAGGCACAACAAACACGAAATGGGTTAAAATTATACAACCATTTCTGACGTACTGAACAATTGAATAATATAAAAACTTACATAACTTGCGTTATACGGTGCATTATAGTATCCGACCTTATGCTCGTAAGTAGAGGTGAAATTGGGTCGGGCCGGCTTACAGGGCTTTATGGCTCGGCCTATATCAGACTAGACCTAACCTAGTATATTTTGTATAATAGGCCGGGTTCGGACCTTAAAAAAGCCTGTTTAATAAAAAGACCGTAGGCCCACTTTCAAAAGGCCGGACCTATAAGCCTACATGCCGACCTATATTGTACTATTTATTTTAAATAAAATAAAATAGAATAAGTATGCCTTGAAGAAAAAAAAAAGATATAAATTTAATCAATTGCAATTATTTATAACTTAATCATATTTGATTATATTTTAACAGAAATCTTACTTTATTTCTTATATAGGAGGAACCAACATCTCAACATGTTAGATTGTGTATATGAATATATTAAAAGATTTTTGGCAGAGGTTATACTTACTACAAGCATCATGATGTGTTTGTTAGATTCATGTAGTTATTTTAATTTACATAGTATGGATTTGTTTGTTGGATCTGATGAAATATATATTATTTAATTTGAGCATTTTTCTTTTGAAAATGACTTAAATGTATATTGTATTAGTTTTGTTATGATTCATGATTCTGTTTGGACGTTGTAATTATGATTTTTGGTGTAGCAACAGAATTTGAGTACTTTGTAAAGTTGATTCATGATTCTGCTTGGAAGTTAAAAATTAACAGGCTAACGGGCCAAGTCAGGCCATTTGTTTTTTTTCATAAAGGGGTCAAACAAGGCTAACAGTTAGACTCATACTAGGCTTGGGCCGGGCCAAATTGAAATTTTTTGACGTAGGCTTGGACTTTTCGGGGCAAAGCTCGGCCCAGCCCAGCCCACTTTCACCCCTATTATAATAACCCTAACCTAATTAATTAGCAAATTACATGTAATTAAATAATTAAGCATGCATTAGTGAGTAAAATTAAGTATAAGGCTTAATTAAATGAATCTGAGTCACTTTGAAGTTAAAAAGTGTACTTAGTGAAAATTAAAGGGTATAAATGGGTGTAGGCAAAAGTACCCAAAATATAATAATAAAAGTGGAAATATTCCTAGAATAATATTCCAGACTTTTGGGTGAAGTTTGGTAATTATTGGAGTTAAATGGATAGACGAACCAATACCCGCTTAAAGTCACTTAACCTATGTTAAGTGACTAAAACACAAAAAATGAACCCCAAACCCCCCATTTTCCCGTCGACAGAAACAGAAGCAAGGAAGAAGAAGGAGAAGGAGGAGAAAGGGAGAGAGAATAAGAGAGAGAGGAGGGAGCAAATCCCAACCGATTGGAGTGATTCAAAAGCCTAAACCACTCTAAATCTTCCCCTCTTTCATAATCTAAGCTTAGCTTTGAGTGGGGAGCATTGTGGAGAGAGATATTGCCTCTCAAAAATTCGGCCCTTTGTGAGATTTTGGGGTTTTGGGAATTTCTACCTCCATGGGAGCTTGAGGAACGCTCTTTGCTTGGTGGTGCAATCGTTGGTGGTAAGATTCTACCCCTTGAACCTCATGATTCCTTGAAATTGCATGAGTTAGGGTTTATGAATAATGTTTTATGGTTTTTGATGAAATGTTGTTAAATTAGCTATGTTCTAGGAAGAATGGAGCTTAGAGCATGTTGTGAAAAATGCTAGGAATGTCATTTAATCGGTAAAAATGAGCCTAGTTAGTTAAATACTATACTTGGTATATTGCAAGATTATCATGCTTGTTGAAGAGTTTTCTTGCAATTATGATCAATGGTTTGACTTGGTTGATTGATGATTGTGTCCTTGTGATGTCTAGGATTGAGACATTTGGACCAACCGTGAGTGATCAACCATTGGAGCAAGCTATGGAGCTTGATTAGCTCCATCGGATAGGTAAGTTCATGCTTATGTGTGGTATGAATTGTATAGCTTGGTTGATAGCTATGAGATGTTAGTAAATGCAATATGTGCTAATTGCATTAAACCTTGTGTAGGTTTTGTTTGAGAATTGGAGTATTGTAATTAACGGGCTGTAGAATCCGTGGGTGGTGAACAAAGGTCGAATTGAAGCTTGAGGTAAGCCTTCGGACCTTGGGTGTAATTCCCTTGACTGTTCCACCAAGCCCTGAAAGGGTAGAGGTTGTGATTATGTATATAAATGCAATAAATTAGTGTAATGTTTTGTTATACGTATGTGTATGCATTTGGTGTGGCATAGGATGGTGTTTCCCTATGTTGGTAAGTTGCATGACGATGCGTAAATCATACTTGGTAGTTAGCTGGCCAGTAGAACTATTTGCATCTGAGTTTCCTTAGGACAACTTGAGAGCTCGAGGGATTTCTCTTGGAGATGTTATTGCACTTTGCATAGATATGTATTTACTGCATTATTATTGTTATTGCTATTACATTGATATGGAACTGTGGGGTGGAGAGATGCTCCAAGGACCCCTGGTTTACTGGATATATTCGTATATCTCACCCCGTGTTGTGGGGACCCTCTTTCAGGTAAGGATGCTGCAGGAGCCACCAGTGGCAAGTGGCCATACTTGGACTAGTATTGATGCATGAGGATCCAGTATTTTGATATCATACATGTTGTTTTGTAGCTCACATGTATAGGATTGTAATTCATAGACAATTCATAGATGTATAATTTGTATATTGGAATGGACTTAGCCTATGCTCATGCCTTTGGTCATCTCTTTTGTTGATGGGAGCCAAGGGAATGATCATAGTGTTTTGTAAGCTAAGTTCCATGATTTGTAATGAACATGTACTGTAAATGATGCCTACTTGAAATTCAATATATGCATGCTTGTTATGTATTGAGTTATTGAATTGGTTGGGCTGAGAATCAATTAGGTACATTTTGTTTAAATTGGGAAACGTTGAGAAAACAAAGGTTATGCTGCCCAAATTCTAGCTAAATCTCATGAGGAGAGGTTGGACGAGTGCTAGGATTAAGTTTTGAGGCATGAACCATTGGGGTTTGGAATGGGGATGCATCTTCCCCTAGACTTGGACTTGAAAAATGAGGGTAATGGAATTCCCTGGCAACGCGCTTTAGCGCCCTGCTGCCCCTGTGAGAGCCAATGCTTTCGGCCTCCTCGCGCTGGAGCGCCCAGAGTGGGGGCTTAAGCGCCCAGGGTCGAGCGCTTGAGCGCCCTGGTTCGCGCTTGAGCGCCCTCAGCCGCTGAAGGAGATGTTTCTGCCTCTGCGCGCTAAAACGTCCCATATGGGGGCTTAAACGCCCAGGATAGCGCGCTTGAGCGCCCTGGTGAGCGCTTAAGCGCCCATTTACACTGAAAGACCTGATGCTTCCTGCCTCCGTGCGCTTAAGCGCCCAGATGGAGGCTTTAGCGCACGATAACGCGCGCTTGAGCGCCCGGTAGCGCGCTGAAGCGCGCGGGGCCTGTGATCAACACCCTTTTGTGTTGCTTCCAATTGTCATAACTTGGGCTACAGTGCTCCGATTTGAGCGCGGTTTGAAGCCACGCGTAGCCAACGAAGAGATCTACAATATAGTAGAAGTTGTGAAATAAATAAGAAGTAAATTAATGGTTTTAAAAATGGACTAAGAACATGATGTTAAGCTTGATTTATCTAATTCCGCAAAGTAATATGGTTATAATCACGCAATTGGATATTTTAAATTCGGCGTCGTTTTAAAAAGAAAAATTTATCCGGATTTTAATTGAACCCATGTGATTGTAACTGCGCTTAATATCATAATGCGATGTTAACAAACCGGTTCTAGAACGGTGTGTTACACCTATTCGTAAGCTTTATCCTATATCGTGTGCCAAATAAGGACTTTTTGCATATTATTTATCAATCTATGCGAATGAAATGCATACGGGAAGTGTGCGTGTTTAAGTCACGCATTATCTCCATGCGTAACTTGTGCAAAAGTTAAAGAGTGTTTGCCATGTATTTGTGTTCTGCAAAATGCTCATAGGGTGCATGTGTCTCTTAAACGTGCATACCCAAGATGCATGTCTTGCTTGGCACTAATTTTCGCACAAGTCGCATATGGTGTGGTATGTGACTTAAACACGCACACTCGTCATTCGTGTATCACTCATGTTAAATTGATAAATAATTTGGCAAAAGAATTAAACCGGTGAAATTTCTTACATTCTGCATTTTTTGGGTCAAAAAGCCCCAAACAAGGCCTAAGAGTCCACCCATAACTACAGAAACTATCAACTATGGGAGTCTTATTTCCCAAATGGTTGTTTTCCTCACACATTTAAACAAATTGTTCAACCAATAATCAGCACCATGTAAATTGTAATATATATATATATATATATATATATATATATATATATATATATATGTGTGTGTGGTTGTGGAATACCATTCACGTGGATGAATGAGCAAAAACCTGGATGATACTTAGAACTGTTGTGACACATTCAAACCAGAAAATATATAAGATAGAATCAATCTAATTTACTAGGAAAGCCATTAGCAAGTGAAGATCGAGCAATATGGAATAATTATATGAATTAACATTTAACAATCAAATTCTCAGCTGATTATGAATCAAGACAGAAACATACTTGATTGTAGCAAGAGAACATGTAGAAAGGTACCACGCTAATAATGTACATATGCTACCTTCCACAAACTAGACAACAAAATCTAATTATATACCTACTGGAAGTACAACTATTATCACTAAAATGTTCTTGAGTTTTGCCATAATACAAAGTGAAATGGACAGATCATGGAGAACAAACACAATCCAGTGAGTCAAGTTTTTGCATCTCAACCAACTTGCAAATGGACCAATAATTACTCAGCAAGCATAGCGATTTTCTATAACAAGATCAACTCTTCAATTTTATGCCAATTAGTAATGTGTCTGCACTCTTCCTTTCTTCAGGGAGAGGTGTCCTTCTTCGTATGCTTTTTACTGTTGCAAAGACAAAGTACATATCAATGAAGCCATTAAAGCAGCCTTAAGTATTCATCGGGGCGCAAATAGCAATGGTTAGACCTAGGTTGTCAGTAGCGGCCCATAGCGCCGCTAAACCGCTACCGTAGCGGGTAGCGGCGGTCGGCCGCTACAAACCGCGACGCTACGTGACATTGGCCGTAGCGGAAGGTAGCGGCGTAGCGTAGCAGCAATACCTCTACCCGCTACACCACTCCCATGTTGGAATTTGATGGAGAATCCGGAGATGATGATGATTTTCTTTATTAGTTCACTTCTTGTACTTGACTATTTGACAATTTTATTGTTCAGTTGTGTTTAATTTTGGATCATTCCATTATGTTCCTTGTATTTGACATTGATTGTGGAATTATGTGTTTGATTTTTGTGTGACTTCTTATGTTTGAGCATTAATACTACAAGCAGGATTGCCTCGTTTCTTGACTGTTAGTATAATATATGTGGAATTAATACTTCACCGTAGCGGTAATACCGCTATCCGCTACACCGCTATACCATTTTCGGGGTCGGCCGCTATTGACAACTATGGGTTAGACCACTACAATATCCATTTGTCATAAGTAAGTATTCTCTACATCTTGATTGAATGAACTCATTATGTTGCAGCTCAACTTATTGAGACATAAATAAAAGGAAAGTTCAGTAAACATAAACTAATTAAGAAACAAGCCATGCTCATATGATGAGATGGAAACCACATTATTAAGAAAAATACATAAATAAGGAGAGAAATTGAAGTGTACCTTTAAACTCAAATAATGCTAAACTGGTTATGCCCTCAAGTTCTCGGCCATGGGTGAGACCACAAAGACTTATCAAGGCACGGATCAAACTCAATGGTAGTGATGGTATGATCTTCTAAGTTGTACATACGAGCATCAAAGATATCAGTGAAGTAGATACAGTTCCCTTGATATCCAGTTAATTCATTAGCAGAAACAGAGAAGGTACAACTATTACCCAAAATGAATGCTCTATCCCCCAAGTTTTTCACATCAACCCATGTTCCCCATTCTTCATCCAACTTATAAACTTTGAAACATTCAACAGCAGCATCTCTATTAGGGCGTCCAACATAGTTTCTTCTTAAGGGTTCACTGTCATAGTATCTATCAACAACATAAAGAACCCCACATGACTCCACCAAATGCTTCTTGTTCCCAAATCCACACAAGGGAGGGGAAAACTGTATCAACTTCAAGCAAGAGATATCAACCCATGAAATAGTTCCCCATCTATCAGTAACATAAAACTGACCTTTATACACAATAACATCATCATAGTAGAAATTCTTGTCATCCACAAGGGTCCATTTCTCATCCCCATGTTTCATGAATCCCAATTTCCCCTCTTGAAAGATACTACAAGCCACTGAATCCTCAACACCAATCCAAGGAGAGTTAGGAAAGAACACAACTTTGTTTGCAGCAACAAAGGAACGTACAGTGTTTTGAATAGTATATGATTTGCATATCTCAATGACCCGATAGTCCAACAAGTTCCACAACATAGGAGAAGTGCTACGAGGGTGCAAGATTTTGCGGTCAGATATTGGACTCAGCAAAGTCAAAGGATGATTCTTCAATTCTTCAACCTTAATCAACCACCCTTTGGAAGAAGATGAAACTGCTAAAGGCTCCAAACAGGAGAGAGAGTTTCCATGACTTGGTTCAATACGATAAATGGTTGCTTGGTTGAGGTAGGTTTCTATGGAGGGGTTCATGGGGTGAGGTATTTGCAAAGGAAAAGAAGGAGAATTTGGATGAGAGGGAGGGATAGAAGATCTAAAGGACTCACAGACACTGCGAAATCTGAGAACATCTATGTTATTCTCGAGAGATTTTCCGATCTTGGGCCATAGCTCTATGGGAAGTTCAGACCAGTCTACTTTCTTATCCATGGCTTCAAAAGACTTGTGTTCTTTGTGTGTGGACTTTGCAGAACAGAGAAATGAACTTGCTCTGCCTTTGATGCTTGGATCTATCACTATAGGCCTTTACTAAAAGGGTTGTTGGAAGTGTTCGATTGTGAAGACTGAAGATGATACCTACGAATTTACAAGAAGGTGAGAAACCAACGAAATGGAACGCAAAGACTTCGCTTTAATCATTCCAAATCGTGTTTGTGAAGTTTCCTTTCTAGATTCTGCATAGGAAACTTTCGCACGGAACAGTTGACTTGAGAAGTCTTTATGACAAAATTAAGAGAAATAAAAATGTAATAAATGAAGGGGGGGGGGAACGTATGAATGCTATATAATTGCTAGGGATTTATTAGTCTTGTATTACACGTAAGAAAAAATTTATATCCTGTACACACAAATTTAAGATGGATTTTACTCTATTTTTTCTCTCTCTTCCTTTGAAAGTGGACCTCACTTATACAAATGAATCAGTAAGAGACAATTATTATCTCCTACTACATGTATATGACAATTATACCCTAATTGATATAAATAAAAGGGAATATGTTTATTTGTGTGAGATAATTTTATTTCATGTAACATATAACAAAGTGGGTGGGGCTCGTTATAGAAAAAAAAATGAGTTTATCTACTTTTTACGTGTATATGACACAAAATTATCTAATACAACATGAAAAATATATTTTTCATAAATAAAAACATACTTTCTCTTTTTTTGTCAAGTTGTCCTATTTGGTCAAAAGTGTGCTCAGGTCCCAATATGTTTATGCGAGAACTTGGTGGACAAGAAATATCCAAAGATGTTAGGATGAGATTATGAAATTAAAAATATAAATTTTAATAGCTAAGTTAAGGGAGTTAGTGATGCACTTATAATTGGTACGTTACGCGTGACCTAGTGAATTGATGAATTCATTTAAAAAATCTAGAGTCAACCAGAATCATGACTCATTAAGCATGATTTATATATTCAAAGAAGTCGCAACTTAAAACCTAATAAATTACAACAAAATTCAAGTCCAGATGAAACATGTTTGATTATAATTTGTTCGGCAAAAAAAAGAAACAAACAAATTTTGCGTAATTTGATATCTAAGATTTGTGAGGTGTTTTGAATAATTTACTTGTAATTATTTATTTTATTTATTTATTTTAAAAGTTAATTATTGTCATATTTATTGAGAACAAGGATTCTTTTTATCAATCCCAAATTCGTTTGTTCAGCCACTTTTCTGTGTTTCGACATTAATTGGTATCAAAGCTCATGTTGGCTTTCAATAGTGGTTGAACGGAATTATGGTGGGTGTGGATAGTGGGTTCATGGTGGCAAGGGACATGGAATTTCCCTAGAGACCAGAGATGAACTATTGCGTCAAAGAGACCTACCAAAGAGCTACAATGACAAGTTGAGAAACTAGAACGACAATTTGCAAGAACGCAATTGTTCATTCAAAGCAAAGATGAGATGTAATCAAAAATGTATTTGATGACGATAATGAGGGAGATGAGTCAGATGACAATCCCATAGTAGTTTTGAGGTAGGAGCGAAATCAGGGGATTCGACGTAGAGTTCATTCTTCTCTTCCGAACATCGGGATACAGATCGAGATTCCAAATCAGTACTTTTGACATTTTTCCATTGATTGTCCAACCAACACATTGTGACACTGATGGAGACCGTGAGGATTGTCCAATCTATGACTCTGATGGAGAATAAGATTGTGATGGCAAATCAATTTATGATTGTAACGACCGGGGTGAAAATTGGAGACGCCACCAATTTTATTTACATTGAAAAAAAATTGATTTTTTTTTTGTTTTAACAAACTATTTTTTGAAACTAAACAAAGTTCGTAAATCCATTATACGAGCTGAAGGGTGGAGATTAAACTCAACAACACCCTTAAAATATTCATCCTAAGACGGTTATCTTAGATTGACTGAATGAACTTTATTTTACCCATTTAATTAAACGAAACTAAAGTTTTTAAAAAAGGTCTAAATTTTATTATTTAAGGAATTAATTCAACACAATATAAATAAAATAATAATAACAACAAAGAAATATAAGCAAAAAATAATTAAAGAAAATTATTTAAAACAAAAAGAGAAGAAAATATTTCTATTAAGTAAATAACTAACTCAAAGAGAGAGAGAGAGAGAGAAAAAACCTTCAAGGAAAGAGAAATATATTTTTTATTTTAATTTAAGCACCAAAGCTATCTAAAAAGAAATTTTCATTTGAAAACAAAGGAAATATAGAAATACAAAAAGGAACCAAGGATTTAAGGGTTGAAAATATAGAAAAAATATTAATAGCAAAAGCAAATATTCATTTTGATTTTCTATTTTTTATGAAAATTAAAAAAATTATTCAAAGGAAATTTTAACAACGAAAAAATGTAACAAAAGGTTTTACTTTAGGAACCTATTTTAACTACTTTTAAGTCGTAAATTAAAATTTAATCAAGCTCTTGAAGAAACTCAAAATTCTCCCTTTTTTTGTCTAAAGTGCAAGCGTGTGACCAGTAGAGAAATAAAAATGCTCTTATATTAAATTTATTCGAAATATGGTGTGCGTGGCATAAAATAGCAAAGATAACCTAGGAACTTTATTAGGAAAAATAAGTTGTCACAACTAAAATAACCCGAAAAATACTACGAGACTAACAAATCGTCACGGCTAAATTAATCCTTAATTAGGAAAAATAAATAAATTAATATAAAATAATAATTTAAAACTAGCTTGGGTCACCAAGCTGTCACAGCCAAAATGACCCAAAAAACTATAAGATTAACAAGCCGTCACGGCAAAATTAATCCCTAATTAAGTTTTTAAACTACATAAGAAAAATTCTAATAAAACAAATAAAGAACATACAAAAGTAATAAACAATTATAAGAAAATTTTTAATAAACAGATGAATAGCATAAAAAAAGCATGCTAAAAATAGCCAATTATAAATTAAAAAAAAACATATAAAGAGCATAAAAAATAGACAATTATAAACTAATAAAGCAAATAAAGAACATGAAAAAGCATACAAAAATAAATAATTGTTAACTAAAGGAGAAGGTAAGCAAACTTACATCAAAGACGACAAACTTGGAGTACAGAGCCAAGTTGTGGAGAACAGCCTCAACTCAACAAGTTTGATGCCCCAAAAATGTACTATGAGGTTAACAAGCTGTCACGGCTAAATTAATCCTCACAGATAAATAAGTTAAGAAGTCGTCACAACCAAATTAACAAACTCCTCTAATTCTAATCAAAAATGAAATTTTTACTTTGACACTAGCTTGGTTTTAATCCCAAGCCCAAGTATCTTTAAAAAAACATTACTACGACACAAGCTTTAATATAAAGCCCAAGTGTCTTTTTAACTCTTGGAAGAGTTTTTTTGTGTTTTTTTATTTAGTTCTCTCCAAAGGGTGTGTGTTGGAAGGAAGGGAAATGAACTCTTTATATAGAGGGAATGGTGGAGGAAGGAATGAGAAATGGGCAATGTGGGATTTCTTAAGAAAGCTATTTTTCTTCAATGTGGACAGTCATTTTTCGACAACAATATCTCAACTAGAGGGCTCAGCTTAACAATCGGTTCGGTCAGATTGAAGCATCATATGAGAGGAATATGCCGACCAAATTTGCGGATGATCCAACGGTTCAATTAAGAGAAATAGGTCTCAGAAAACTACTACTCGAAACAGTGTGGTGGTCTTAAAAATGAACAGCCCTCTTTCGACATTTATATCTCACACTAGAGAGCTCATTTAAGAGATCTGTCCGGTCATATTGTAGTATTATATGAGAGGAACACATCGACAAAATTTAAGGACAATCCAACGGTTCATTTGGGAGAAATGACCCTCATAAAATCGCTGCTCGCTGCAGAAATATCCAAGAAAACTGTTCCGGTTTTGAATTTTCTAGGAATGATATAGACATGGAATCAAGAAATCCACCAGCCTATATAAAGTACAATGAGTCAAGATCTTGCTAAAAAAATTTCAGCTCGATCGGACAATGGATGAAGGAGATATCGCGACTAGAACAGGTCCTACTCAAAGCTGTTATTTTTTAAGATCTTCCTTTTTTCCTTATTGAATGACAAAAATATGTGCTCAAAACTTAATTTCTTTTCTTTTGTTTTCATTTTTTATTTTTTTGTCATTTTTTAAATATTTTGGACAAAATTGGGTGTTCACATGAGGCCACTGTTGTTTCCCTTCCATGGGAACACATTTGGAGATGGGATGGTCCCGAGAGAATTAAAACTTTCCTATGGCTTGTGGGGGAAAAGCTCATGACCAATTCAAGGAGATTTCACTGCTGTTTGTCTGAAGATGACTTTTGCCCGAGGTGCAACCACGCTCATGAAACTATCCTCCACACCACAAAGGACTGAAGAGTATCCATGGAGGTTTGAGGGTTGCTTATAGATCGCAACCATTGGGTGAAATTCTTGGAGCTTAATATTCATGAGCGGTTGTTCAAGAATATTGCTAGAACTAATCGCTGCAATAGAGACCCTCATTGGAAACTTTTTTTCGGCATCACAGCTTGGTTTCTTTGGCGTATAAGGAATGATATGGTTCAGGGTGCACATCAGAGGGCATAATGAGAGCTACCCTGGGCTACAGAGATAGCGTCTTGCAGGCTAAGAACCTTCTGATAGCAACGGGAGTGAGGTCTCATACTAGAATGGAGAGACTAATTGCCTGGACCTTCCTTCTCTAAATTGGAACAATATCAACATAGATGGAGACAATACTATGAATGGTTTATATTCAGGTTGTAGGGGTGTCCTTCGAGACAGCTCCGGTGACTGGATTGTTGGATTCTGCAAGAACTTAGACAGTGGAAGGATGTTGAATGTTAAGCTCTGGGCAATTCTGGTCGGGCTGGAGGTGGCTTGGAACAAAGGCTATAGGAATGTTTGGCTAGAAGAAGATTCTCAATTAGCGCAATAGCTTATCCTGAAGGGGTGCAACACTACCCATCCATCTTCTAGGTTGATCTAGCGCATTAGGAAAATGCTTTCCAAAGAATGGAACGTCTTTATTTCGTACATCCATCGTGAGGGAAATGGAGTGGCTGATTGGTTGGCGGCATATGCGAGTAATTTCTCTTGGTCTATCTAGTAGCTAAATAATCCTCCTCTAGGTGTATGCATCATTCGTTGAGTGACCAGATGGAACTCATTGGCCTAGGCTTTATGCCAATCTATCTTAGTTTGTTTTTGTTTTTTTCTC